CTCAAATGAGAGTAGGTGACCGTTTCTAGTCGGAGTGAGTGGTATCATGCTTTTTAGTAGAGTGAGTCGCATTCCAATTCTAGTAAGCTATAATCTCACATGTGAATCATTTCCTGTATTTTTTCTTTAGAAATGACTTGTTGGGTTATCTTATATTTTTCACTATATAAAAGTATGTGACATTTCTCTTGTAGCAAACAAATGCTTACCCTAAAAAAGACACATCTTTCTTCTGATTTATTTTTTAAAAGAGCAATTCACTATCTCATTTTTTCACCGCATGACACAACACTCACACCCACGTCTCATTCCTCCGTCCTGTCTCCTCGATGACGTCGTTGCCATCTCTCCGCCACGGCGTTCAGTCCACACCTTCCTCTTAGCGCCGCCTGACGACATCGCCACCCCCCCTCCTCTTCCCTCTATGGTGTCCACGGCCAATTCCCAGTGCCAAGGAATGCACACTATCATAACCGCCCATGATATATGAAATGGTACATATCATACGATAACGGACGCATACTCTAGTGGTTCAACATCAATCTTGTCTGACATATACCTTATACCAAACTAGATGATGCCCCGCACGTTGTTGCGGGAATATTTTGAAATATATTTCAAAGATAATGATTTTATGGAAATAAGAATATTCAAAGAAATAATATGAGGGCTAAAACTAAAAATATGTATGGTTCATTATTTTGATTATTGTATTTTCGTAAAGTATTTATTAAATATATCATGCATGTTTGAATGTTGAGGTGAACCTTTTCCTATGACTCATTGAATATTGAGGTGGGCCTTTTCTAATGCATGTTGCTTGATGATGTGTCATGCTTGCATGTTAAGAGAAATAGATTAGTGGGGGCTAACTATTTAGATATAGAAGATATCCACACATTTCCATAAAATAACAATAAATGATCAAACAATTGTTCTATTTCAGAAAATAATATGTCAAACATGATGAGATATGCTTTCCATGATGTGATATGCTTTCCATCTGTATAATGACAAACTGATTTTTCGGCTCTTTCTCTCTATCAATAATTGCCGTGTCTCCTTAACCACGCTCTATTTAGAAGAAAAAAATGATAATTCTACCCCTCCCTTCCATTCTCGACACCATGTTTGAGCTCTCTTTTCAATATCTATACTTCCCTTCTTGATTATTTGTCCTAACAGCTGAAACCTGAGCATTTTGCTTCTTAAAACGGAATGTGAGCGAAACCCCACAAGATAAGACATATTTCAGGACCGAAGAAGCACACTTGACAAATTGTTCCTACTTTGTGAAATTCCTACTTCCTAGCTATATTACCTTTGCTAGAGAATTAATTCAAGTTCTAATCCTCAAATATTGGGAAGGAGAAACTACCATGCCAAGCAACTTATTTATGTTGTCATTAGATCAACTTCTTTAGGTTGTTATGGGAGAAACAAAGGGCTGGAAGAGAAAAGGAAGAAGATGAACCAAAATAACCACAAAAGGTAAAGCATAATAAGAAAGACTCACTCATTATTTTAACTGACCAAGCTTTAGACTCTCTACTTGATTTTGCTTCTCTATAGGAGTACATGGCTAATTATATGCTAACATAAAAGAAGAAGGCGAAATACCAAATGTATTTT